TTGAATAAACGCTCAAACTGCCTCCATCAACGCCAGCAGAAGCAAGTTTTAAGTATGTAGCTGCAGTACTGCATCCCTCCACCAGATGGCACTTTCAGCCAAGGGATCAGTATCCCTCCTTTCTCCTTCATCCCTCTTCTTGTTTCAGCACCCTCGTCATCAGCGGCCACAAAATGGATGACAGCTTTTAGTGCGAGCAGGGTGCGTCACGATGCCGGCGGGCCGCAGTGGCGACGCTGTGCCATTTACCTTCCACCTGTTTCCATGCCTCAGCAACCTGAGCTGGCCGATAACGAGGGACGCCGCGAAGCTTCACAGGCTGAAATATAGTCGAGGGGAGGAAAGGGGCACAATTGGTCGCCGTGGCCTTGTTTAGCAAAACCCTCGGATGACAACGGAGCGAGCATTTTCATTCTAAAATGAACATCATCACCGCGCTTGTACACATACCGTATATGTAATGCGATATACAGTCTGGGGTTTATTTAACGGCTTTATTTAACTGGCCATTCCATTTGCGTACCTCAAATGGAAAGGCCAGACCTGAATCCTATTGAAAACCTGTGGGATCAGTTGAGTCACCATGTAGAGGCTTGAAACTCCGCACCCTAGAGCCCCAGTGACCTGGGGGGCTGCCCTTCAGGGAAGAGTGGGATGCCCTGCCTCACACCAGATAATAAGTCGACTTGTAAAAAGCATGAGACGTCTTTTGGGCACGGGACGAGTAATTGAGACGTTGACATTTTTTGTTGTGGTGTACCCTCCATGGTTGTTAACTTTGGGATGAGGAAATCACCGGTGCATCCTTCTACTTACTGTAGATGTCATTGCGTAAGTGGTGCAAAAATATATTTTATTGGAGGTATTAGGGCTGCAACCAACGATTATTTCGATAAATCGATTTATTGAAGACTGTGATAAATGACAAGGAATTGGACAATTTTCAATTAACCAAGGGCTCTAAACGATTATCCGATTCTCAAAAATGATCATGTGATGAGCAACTGCCGATGAATCGGTGCACCTCTACAAAATACAAAACATCAAGATAATAACAATGCAAAACAAACATTTTAGTCCGGATGAAATGACGGATTTTTCAAATACACTGACCAATTAGCGAGACTCTTCAGTTGACAGTGCTGTGTTCATGCACGGCAAAATTGGAGCGGATACTACGTGAGGCGTCTCGTAGATTTTCGCGACGACTCGTGGGCTCTGTGCAATTTTGTCGTCTGCACGCCAGTCTGCAAGCGCTGCAGCAACGTCGACCAGCACGTGCCCAGACAAGAGCGCTATGGCTCTTTGCTAGCTGACTGACGGCAACAGCAGGCGTCACCTTGCCACACAAACACGTTAAGGTCGCCATCAAGCTGAGAGGACGTGAAAAGTGTAGGACACTGTATTATTTATTCATCTTGATACTATTACGGCATCAAGGTCACTTAGGTTAGTGAGTGTGTGTGTGTTTTTTTTTTTTTTAAGCAAGCTGCTCAGTGCAGAAAGCACACAGCCGGGAGCATTGTAACTCGTGTTTAGCGTGTCTCTCTTTCTCTCTCTCTTTTTTTTTTTTTTTTTGCTCAAATAAAGCCACTAATTCTTTTTTCATTACCTTCGACTAACTGTGCACTCGTCGGTCCTCGCGCGTTGTTCATGATCCTCTTAAAAATAATACTGTAACCACTGCACATGCCGCACATCAATTATGTTGCAGTTGTAGAGTGGAAAGAGTCTTTTATGGGGAAGTCTTTTTACAGGCCGGGCTAAGCCAACATTGCGCACGCAATAAATCAGCTCAATCATCCTTTACGCGCGCCCCCACTGAAGAGGAGTTATAGACAAAGATTATAAATGTGTTCGTTTTGTTGCCGCCATTGTTGCTTAGCGCGGGCGGAATCTGGCCTTCGTCTCTTGGCGTGGCCGGCGCGGTGACGCTGAAACGGTTTCAACAATGTGAGTGCGGCTGATGAAATCCGATGATTATAACAGCGAGTACGCGGCCCTTTGCAATGCTACGCTAACGCTCGAGCATTACGTTTAGCTTCAGAATAGAAAATGTCGTGACACGACGGCAAGAGAAAATCAGCATCAAAAATACATTTGGGGATACAGAATTTGCCGTTGACCAGTGTAGTTGTCGTTTCATGACAAAATTGTAAGAAGCAGTAAGAATAGACATAGTGCTCATCTTTCTAAGAATTAAGCTGCATTTTATATAATAAAACACGGACACCCGCCAACAGATTTGTTCAGACTTTGATTCCAACCAATTTTGCATTTTATATAATAAAATACAGACACCCCCCCAACAGATTTGTTCAGACTTTGATTCCAACCAATTTCAGAAATAATGGAATTAGAGTCGCAGAGTCAAACTGTGGCCATCCTGAACCCTTTACCGGCAATAATTGAGCAACATGTTAACATTCTTCAGCATTTGCTTTGCTATGCATATTATCAGGCTCCAAAGTTAACTACCTCCTGAAGGACGAGAAATTGGCTGTTGACTATCTACAGTTAATATCTACTGTGGTCTGAAAACAGAAAACGACGTACGCGAGTAATAATAAAACTTTTACAACCGCCATAAAAACCACTGTATCAACAAGCAAAAAAATTAATCATAATCACAAGCAGAATGTGAGGCCAAGACTTCATTTTCTCAATGTGTGGCAAAGTAACAGCACTAAGGCCCAAACTGGCACACAACGTTCACACCATTTGCGCTAATAAAGCGTTTATGCCGCAATTAGAAGCAGTTATGGAGCAAAAGCCTTGCCCTGGCCCTTCACAGCCTCTATTCAACCCGGGAGCCAGAGAAAATACCAAAATAGTAACGCTCACTTCTGTCAACAATAGATAGAAAATGCCAACATGATGGGAGGTCGTCTGTGGACCTTTGATGAACGATGTTCCGTAACATTGCTGAAACTCAGCAGCCGAGATGACAAATCTGACATGAATTCATAGGCTCACTCCCACTTGGATTTCAGCGTCTTTGAAAAAACGTTCATTGTTACATAAAAGAGCAGCTCGCTGTGTTTTTAATCACTGTCAGTTGTTTGCGGTTTGCGTAAGATAGACAGACATAAGTCAAGAACACTTTTGGGTAAAAGGTGAAACGTCTGACAAGTTTGCCCATTTATTTTATTTTTTGTGCTACTTGCAGGCATTGCGTACAAAGTTGTGTTTCTCAAAATGGTATGGCATCCATCACCATTCACTTTATATCAACAATGCACAAAGTAAAAAAGCGCAACAGTATGCTACTGACGTGAGTGATTGCGACGGCTGTTCACTTGCAGTCATGACCCGGGCTTTGGTCGATTTGGTTTTGAATCGATTGTTGTAACTTTTCAGTTTGCAGACTTTTCAGTTGTGATCGATGACTGCAGCCATGGCGAGCATGTTGTTTCGCAATCTTACGAGAGCAATTTTTGTGGCGACTTAAGTAAAAAAAAAAAAAAAAAAAATCTAAAAATGCTTATATTTTGACATTGTCAATGAAAATTACATAACAGGTTTCATCACGGCAGGATTACGTAAAATTATTTGCACTATACGCATGTTCATTGATGGCTTGGTTCTGTTAAACACTGTAACCATGGCAACCGCGTTTCCCCAGAAACATGGAAGAGATTTTTCTTGCACTTGAAACCTGAACTGAAGAAAAATGCTGAACGATTAAGTAGAAATTCTGAGATTAATATTTTAATCAATTAAATATCCATTATTACATTTCCCAAATCTATCCTCATTTCTTCTGTAGCACATCCTATTTTGATAATAATGATAACAAATTTAGTTATTTTTATGAAATAGACAACAGGTGGATTTTTTTTTCCCCCGGAAATGTCAAAGCTTTAAATTATAACGCATGGTAACATCCGTACTGTACAAGGTTCTATTGGTCAAACTTTAAAACTATCTCAAAAACCTGATGTGATGTCGAAAATTAAGACCTTTTTTTAAATTCAGCATCAAAAGTACGTTTAGGGACACATAAAGCCTCCTCTGATAATTTGCTGTAAACTAGCGTGGTCAAGAATGGACTCACCTGTAACATGTTGCAACTTCCCCACTGGACTTGACGCAGGAGTACCTGGTGGTGGAGATGTTATCCGAGCAATCTTCACTGTCCCTGTCAAAATATTTTGAAGTGTTTTAACTACAACACACCAAGAAAGTAACACGCCGGTCGCGTCAGAGTGTCCGCCGAACGTTACCCGAAGCGGGCGTCCTCCTGCCGGTGTGACCGCGGAGAGGCTCCGGAGAGGAGCAGCAGCCATGTGACGGCGGCGAGCAGGTCGCGAGGGTGTCCGGGAATCATGACGCTCCTGTCACCGAGCCACCCGCTCGCGGAATGAGTGCGGCGGTGGCGGCGCGGGGGCCGTGCAGTAGGACAAAACCTGTCACGCAGCCAGCCGCGGACCCTCCCACTCGACACGCACACGCTGCGGTCAACCGAGGTCGAGGCTCTACGGTGGCGATTTATGGTGATTATTGTTCATTATTTGACTTTAATAGCGCATTTGTTTTAGCTTCAGGTGGAAGTGCAGCGACCTTCAGGAATTGAGCTCTGCTGCCACCTAGCGGTTATCGTTGGAAGGTCAACAACAGAACGACCCGATCGGTTACTTCATTAGGACACCTTTGTGACGAGAAGAGAGCCACTATTCCAGAAAAGGGAACATACTTTTTCACGGCACCAAATTAGCACACACCAGTTTCAGTCAGACTTTGTGGAATAGGTCAATGGGGGGGGGGGGGGGGGGCATTGGTTTCCAGTCGTTTTTACAGACTCGTTTCAACTTAATTTTCATCTGGATATTCACATTTTCCTGCAGATTCAAATTAAAAAATGATATAGTTGACATTTTTAGCTAAATACTGGGCTCAAATTCTACAGCATTTGTGGGTAGACAAATTTGTGGACAGTGGACTAGGCCAAGGCAAAAAAAAAAAAAAAAAGTGAGCAGAATCTGCACATCGTGACAGCATTGCTGTTTGCGTGTAAACATTTGTTTACTACGCTGTTGTTTTGTAAATATGATGTAAGAGGAAATCCATATGTTCCACAAACTGTCGTCATCTATGAATGCCCGCTAAATGTTTGTACCTACGAACCCCTCGACTTACATGTTCTTCCCTTAATAATCATGTAAATGACTCCGCAGGACTGACTTGGCTTTTATTTTCTAGCTCAGACACAACTGAGTAAACACAAAACCTTGCCTTCTGGGTGACCCAAGTGCGATTCCGAACACGAGCGCTGGCACCGGCCAGGCTGACCCACTTGTGGGCGGCCTGTAAGGATATCTGAGTGAAACCAGAGGTGCACGGTATCGCTTTACAGATGCCACCAGGGAGCCTCTGAGTCATTTCTTTGTTGCTTTGCCGAGTTGCTCATTAGGTGACTCATCACCAAAACTAAGATGGGCTGTTGTTGACTTTAAATCAGTCATTTTGCAGCTAATGTTTATGAGAAGCTGTTTGAGCATTGATTTGATTTTGTTGATACGGCTCATGTACTACTGTGCTCTTTTTCGTCACTATTAAGACATTAAAAATAAAACAAACAAGTACATTATTTCAGTGTACTAGCATTTGGACCATTAGCTGTATATCACGGATGTTGAATAAACGCTCAAACTGCCTCCATCAACGCCAGCAGAAGCAAGTTTTAAGTATGTAGCTGCAGTACTGCATCCCTCCGCCAGATGGCACTTTCAGCCAAGGGATCAGTATCCCTCCTCTCTCCTTCATCCCTCTTCTTGTTTCAGCACCCTCGTCATCAGCGGCCACAAAATGGATGACAGCTTTTAGTGCGAGCAGGGTGCGTCACGATGCCGGCGGGCCGCAGTGGCGACGCTGTGCCATTTACCTTCCACCTGTTTCCATGCCTCAGCAACCTGAGCTGGCCGATAACGAGGGACGCCGCGAAGCTTCACAGGCTGAAATATAGTCGAGGGGAGGAAAGGGGCACAATTGGTCGCCGTGGCCTTGTTTAGCAAAACCCTCGGATGACAACGGAGCGAGCATTTTCATTCTAAAATGAACATCATCACCGCGCTTGTACACATACCGTATATGTAATGCGATATACAGTCTGGGGTTTATTTAACGGCTTTATTTAACTGGCCATTCCATTTGCGTACCTCAAATGGAAAGGCCAGACCTGAATCCTATTGAAAACCTGTGGGATCAGTTGAGTCACCATGTAGAGGCTTGAAACTCCGCACCCTAGAGCCCCAGTGACCTGGGGGGCTGCCCTTCAGGGAAGAGTGGGATGCCCTGCCTCACACCAGATAATAAGTCGACTTGTAAAAAGCATGAGACGTCTTTTGGGCACGGGACGAGTAATTGAGACGTTGACATTTTTTGTTGTGGTGTACCCTCCATGGTTGTTAACTTTGGGATGAGGAAATCACCGGTGCATCCTTCTACTTACTGTAGATGTCATTGCGTAAGTGGTGCAAAAATATATTTTATTGGAGGTATTAGGGCTGCAACCAACGATTATTTCGATAAATCGATTTATTGAAGACTGTGATAAATGACAAGGAATTGGACAATTTTCAATTAACCAAGGGCTCTAAACGATTATCCGATTCTCAAAAATGATCATGTGATGAGCAACTGCCGATGAATCGGTGCACCTCTACAAAATACAAAACATCAAGATAATAACAATGCAAAACAAACATTTTAGTCCGGATGAAATGACGGATTTTTCAAATACACTGACCAATTAGCGAGACTCTTCAGTTGACAGTGCTGTGTTCATGCACGGCAAAATTGGAGCGGATACTACGTGAGGCGTCTCGTAGATTTTCGCGACGACTCGTGGGCTCTGTGCAATTTTGTCGTCTGCACGCCAGTCTGCAAGCGCTGCAGCAACGTCGACCAGCACGTGCCCAGACAAGAGCGCTATGGCTCTTTGCTAGCTGACTGACGGCAACAGCAGGCGTCACCTTGCCACACAAACACGTTAAGGTCGCCATCAAGCTGAGAGGACGTGAAAAGTGTAGGACACTGTATTATTTATTCATCTTGATACTATTACGGCATCAAGGTCACTTAGGTTAGTGAGTGTGTGTGTGTTTTTTTTTTTTTTAAGCAAGCTGCTCAGTGCAGAAAGCACACAGCCGGGAGCATTGTAACTCGTGTTTAGCGTGTCTCTCTTTCTCTCTCTCTTTTTTTTTTTTTTTTGCTCAAATAAAGCCACTAATTCTTTTTTCATTACCTTCGACTAACTGTGCACTCGTCGGTCCTCGCGCGTTGTTCATGATCCTCTTACTGCAGTTTAAAATCGCAGCGTGCTACGCTAGCTCAGTCTTTCCATCAGTATGGATTTTTAGATTAAAACCACTAGCGGTGCGTGAAAACAAACACATGCATATGCATGGATTTTAATTCGCCGACGCACTCTAAACAGAGTGGAAATACGGTCGGCCCGCCGTTTAAATCAGGTTGCAGTCAAACTTAACAGAAGACAGAAGGTGTAATTTTGTGACAATAAACTCTTGCTTCTTCATTCTTCGACAGCGGGTAAATCAAGAAAATCTGTCATTTCAACGCTTCGGTGGTTTCCCTGCAGCACATCTCTCAATTCACTGGCATCAGCTGCGCAGCCGGCGACTCATCTGCTGCCCAAAGAGACACTTATGATTTTCTCTTTTGTAATATTTGAACTTTACTGTCATAATATTATGCCTTTTTCTTTTTGTTTTTAGTTGGACTGTAAGATTTTTAGTTTTTTTCCTCTTGGAATATTATAAACAGGTCTTGGAATATGATAAACAGTAAAGTTGTTTTGTGATGATAAATAAATTGCAAAATATCTTTTTTTTCCCCCCAACGTGAACCCAAAAAATCCTTGTATGACAAAAAAAAAAAGAAAAAAAAGACTGCTACCACATACCACTCGTGATCAAAAGGTAGCATGTCAATTTCATGACATACTACAGAGATATTTTTAAAACTGATGTAACCTGAGACATTTCCTTGACTGTTTAAAAAAAAAAAAAAAAAAGCTTTTATGATGCTGACATTGTACTTTGATTGTCATTAAAGTTGAACATGGAAGCACAATTGTTCAGACGACAAGAAAAAAAAAAGAAAATCCCTAAGCTGATTTAACCGTTTATCAGCAGGCGACATCGAGCGGCAGATTGGAAACCACCTCCACATAACTACACGCGTTCTGATCAATATCATTAACGTCCCGCTGTCCTTGGGATCACTGTGTCCCGCCCATTTTTTTTTTTTTGGCCACACACTTGTACGAACGTACCCTTTGAAATCATCCTTCCTCTTCCAGTATCATATCAGATGCGGAGAACAGGAAAGAATTCCTTTGAGGCCTTTGTGACCACGTAGAGAACAGAAATGAGGCAAGCCCAAGGTTCGTTTTGGAGTGTCCTAGGAACAAAACAAACCAAAAAAAGTGAATATTTCATGATTTTATGAGAATCAAGTCAGAATATAAGAATGATGTTGCTGTGCTATGAGGGGAGAAAAATAGGAGTGGCATTACGAATGTGGTCATGGAACAAATGAAAGTCGCATCTCAAGGTATCACTCAAAAAAAAAACAAAAACCTGACGACTGTTTTATACAAAAGCTAGCTCTGTAGTAGCAATTTGATTGGACAAAATTCATTAAATCAGTCACAAACCCTTTTCCCCTTTTTGTATTTTGGTTGCTAAGATACCAAACAGGAAGTAGCTTGGTGCCTTTTCCTGCGGATTTCGACGTAAGTAATTAAAATGGGAAGCCCTGCTTATAATAAGGCGGAAGAGATGTGATCGTAACGTTTTCAGCTAACATTTCTATTGGTTAAAAATGCTAAAGTGACGCGTCACATTTTTACGAGGTGGAGATGTCCGTCCATTGCCTGAGCCTAATATTGAAACCTTTTTCTCGTAAAAACCACTTCATACTACGACTTCATTTCCGATGACAATTTAACATTTCCAACAAGAATATTTGTGATCGAAAAGTCCGAAGTCAGTTATCTGCTTTAATTCCTTCGGACGGGCAGAATGTGGTTGCGGCTGGAGATGCCGACGAGCAGATGGCGGCAACGAGGCAATCCATGCAGGGAAAATGTGAATTAGGAGATTTTTTCCGGCAGGCCTCTTTGCGTTAATGTGACATTTCACAGATCCTAAACAACGCTGCCAAAACACTACATCTTGAAAAACGCAGGGAAAAAAAACACGCTGTTATACAAGAGGATTTTCTGCCGCCAAAGTTGTTGTTTTTTTTTTTTTTTTTGTGTGTGCTTTGCTTTTCCCATGCGATTAATGTCTTCTTCCGCTCTGCCGTGACTCCCACCCAGGCTGCTGCTATAGCCCAAGGGCACCTCGTGGATCGGGGCGATCCGGATGAGGAGAAAGCTGATAAATAAATGGTTCAGGTGGCCATTGGTCATGCAGTGGTTCACATAGCTGACTGGCTTGCAGCTGGCGTGGGATTAAGGTAGCGCACATCCAGATAATGTGAACATTTCCATGGTAGGGGAAAAAAAATACACGGAAGATATATTATTGACAGAGAGAAAACAAAAAAGGACAAGTAGAATTTTTGGGAGAATATTTTCATCCGATAATATCCTAACAAAAAGGAAATTTCTATCTCTAGCTGGCCATCCAGTCTATGTAAGTGCTGTCAATCATTATAAATTAGTAGCAGATATTTACTTGGGTGAAATCTTGGAATTAATGTCAAATCAAATTATATTTAAAAGTAAACACCGTTGGAATAGCTTTCCTTGGTCCCTGAATACAATCGTTCTGTTATAACGTATAACTGTTCAACAAAATGATCAAAACAGATTCCTGTAATTCTTCTCATGGAAACAATTGTCCAAACTTCTCGCTGACAGGTTTAGTTCCGCCCATGGGCACCAAACTCCAGCAGTGTTGGTTTTTGATGCCCCGTGAAGGTAACTAGAGCAGGGTATTATCCTCTAAGATGCTCCGCCAAAGACTTACAACTAATAGGGTGTTTGAATTTGGCTTTGCAAAGTGCGCAAATGACTTCCGATTTAACCAGCAAGCGTCAAGCAAGTAAAACAGATGTGATGGAGAGTGTCCCATTAAAGATTAGCGGAATAAGTCAAAATGAGGAAACGTATGGTCACTTTTGACAACATCAACAATCCTAATGGTTGGTCTTGTTTAGCCAGTTGTCAATCACCGGCCACACCTCCCTCAAGTCTTTGCACTTTTCTCCTTGTGATTGATTCAGCCTTCACACCCGTCACTCAAAGTTTTAAAATGTCAGAGGGAGGGAAGGATGGATGAATATTTTTGGGGGGAAAAAGTCAAACAAGGACGGCTGAAAGTCAACACGCGGGAATTTCGAGGCTTAGTGGCGAATGACTCATCACCGCGCATTTATTGAGATAAAATCCAGACGACTCTTCATGGAAAATTAATAGAAGAAATAAAAGTGGGCTCATCGTCGGGATATTTCCATTCAATTGATTTTTACAAATAACGTATCAGCCAGTGCATATCGCAAAATCCACATTTTAATGATGAGTTTTCATATGACTTCTTTTATAGTTTGTCAAGACTTTCTGACTGTTTTCCCATTACCGGTAATTATAATCACAGTCCACATGTATTTGGGTCAAGCAGCGCAGCGACCCACCAGCTCCAGCAGATGGAGCTGTGGTGGTGAAAAAGTATGCGAGATTGCGCACACTTTATTTTGTACATCGCCACCCAGAGGGCTGGGGTGTAACAACATTGATATAGATTTCAATCCAACGGCAGACGTGTTTGGCGTTGGTGGTCCTCGAAAGGTCGACGGTGCGGATTTTTCTTTGGAGAATTTTTATGTCAGTGAGCAGAAGAAAAGCTCAGGTCATCTAAGGAGACCGCACGCATGCATCAAGGGGTTCTCAAGATGAATGATGACGCCATTAATTCATAAAACAAGAAAGAAGGAAAGAAATAAGCCTTGGCTCGTGTGACCTTAATGCCTCAGATTATATCTGGATTGGCCATCTGTCATGCAAGCATCCGACTGAAGAACACAATATGACTTGGGGAGTTTACAGATTAAAATAAATACAATCTCGGCCCCATCAAGTTGGAGATGACTTGACTCAAAAATCAGAGGTCAAGTCGTCCCGGACCGCAATAGAAGGTTCATAAACACATATCATATATGGTAGAATAATATATTGGATTCTTTTAAGGGTTAGGCACTTGATTAGGGAGGGAGCCACTTTTCAACATTCACTTCTTACTGAATATTATTCCGTCCCTTACAAGGGGTTCACTTGTTACTATGCAGACTTCACAGGGCACAATAATTGCTCTAGAAGCCATAAAAAAATTAAAAAAAAATCAAATCACATTATATATATAAGCACATGAAGCAGTATAAACGTGTATAATGGAATTACAGCAGATCCCTTTCAGATTTATTTTAGTGAGGAAAATAAAAACAATAAGCGAAATGGAAGCTTATGCGGCGTAACAGACGGTTTGGGATTGCAGTTTAGACAAAGGTCATTCGATTCATAACGCCAGGCAGATTTGCGCATGCAAACGTCTCAGTGACATCCAAGCGGATGTGTGGTGAGCAGACGGGACCCGTGGGTGTACTTGCCCCCCACCCCCCACGCGATATGATCATGAGATTGTTAATAAAGTCATGGATAGGCCAATCAAAAGTGGAAATGACGGGCGGGGTGGGGATTTGCTTTAATCTGGCAGGAGGTTTAGCCCTGGCGGGATTATTTACTGTTACGCAGGAAGCTTTAGGTGTCACATGGCTGTGGAGTCTGCTGTTTTTGTTGGTTCACAAATATCAACATCATCACCATAAACAATAATAATTAGTAGCAAGGATGAAAAAAAAATGTTGACAGGGAGTACTGTACATCTTCAATTATTTTCACTTTTTTAAGTGGCCCTTTCGTCCTTCCATTTTTCGTGGAAAGTACCTAGGTGCTTGAAAATGTTTTAGGCACTTAAAATTTTTTACGTGCTTAAGTGCTTTTAAAAAATTTTAAATACTAAAACAATTTTTTGGGCCACTTAAAAAAATCTAAAAGCACCTAAGTACTTAAAAGCATTTAAGTACCTAAAAGTTTTTTAAAGTACTTAAAACAAGTATTTTTAAGCACTTAAAAAAAACTAAAAGCACATAAATACTTAAAAACACTTAAAAGCACTTCACCTAGGTACTTAAAAACACTTAAAAACATTTGAGTACTTAAAATCACTTAGTCACTTAATAAAACGTAAATACTTGAAAACTACTTATGTACTTAAAAGCACTTAATCACATAAGTTTTTAAATACTTTAATAAAAAGTACCTAAAAAACCTCACTTAAAAACGTTTAAGCACTTTCAGGTTTTTAAGTACTTAAAACAAGCACTTATGTACTTAAAAACACTTAAAAGCACTTAAGCACTAACTTTTTAAATACTTGAAAAGAATTAAGCACCTAGGTACTTAAAAACACTTAAAAGCATTTAAGTAGTTAAAAACACTAAAGTACCTAAAAACCACGTAAGTACGGAAAATCACTTAACGTTTAAGCACTTAAAAGTTTTTAGGTACTTAAAACGAGCACTTAAGCACTTAAAAACAACTTAGATACTTAAAAACTACTTATGTACTTAAAAGCACTTAAGCACGTAAGTTTTTAAATACTTAAAAAAAATTTGCACCTAGGTACTTAAAAATACTTAAAAGCATTTAAGTACTTAAAAACACTAAAGTACCTAAAAACCGCGTACGTACTTAAGAGTTTTTAAGTACTCACAACAAGCACTTATGTACTTAAAAACACTTAAAAGCACTTAAGCACACTTTATACTTCATACTTTATAAAAGAATAAGCACCTAGGTACTTAAAAACACTTAAAAGCATTTAAGTACTTAAAACACTAAAGTACCTAAAAACCACGTAAGTACTTAAAATCACTTAAAATCACTTAAAAACGTTTAAGCACTTAAAAGTTTTTAAGTAGTTAAAAACAACTTAAATACTTGAAAACTACTTATGTACTTAAAAGCACGTAAGTTTTTAAATACTGAAATCACTTAAGAACGTCTAAGCACTTAAAAGTTTTTAAGTACTTAAAACAAGCACTTAAGTACTTAAAAACACTTAAAAGCACTTAAGCACGTAAGTTTTTAAATACTAAAAAAAATTAAGCACCTAGGTACTTAAAAATACTTAAAAGCATTTAAGTACTTAAAAACACTAAAGTACCTAAAAACCACGTAAGTACTTAAAATCACTTAAGAACGTTTGAGCACTTAAAAGTTTTTAAGTACTTAAAACAAGCACTTAAGTACTTAAAACACTTAAGTACCTAAAAACCACGTATGTACTTAAAATCACTTAAGAACGTTTGTGCACTTAAAAGTTTTTAAGTACTTAAAACAAGCACTTAAGTACTTAAAACACTTAAGTACCTAAAAACCACGTATGTACTTAAAATCACTTAAGAACGTTTGTGCACTTAAAAGTTTTTAAGTACTTAAAACAAGCACTTAAGTACTTAAAACACTTAAGTACCTAAAAACCACGTATGTACTTAAAATCACTTAAGAACGTTTGTGCACTTAAAAGTTTTTAAGTACTTAAAACAAGCACTTAAGTACTTAAAACACTTAAGTACCTAAAAACCACGTAAGTACTTAAAATCACTTAAAACAAGCACTTAAGCACGTAAGTTTTTAAATACTGAAAAAAAAATTAAGCACCTAGGTACTTAAAAATACTTAAAATCATTTAAGTACTTAAAAACACTAAAGTCCCTAAAAACCACATCTTCTGTGGCCGCAACAGCACAATCTGATTGCTCGCTGTGCTCAAATCTCACAAGGAGGAAAACGCTTTTGTCTCCCTCTTTGTGCAGTCGCACTGATGCCGCTCGGATCTACGATTCCTCTCACACAAACGACGCGTGCGTGTGGGTTTGAGGGTCGCGAGATAACAAGAAGCCCGCAACCTCCGTGCGGAGGTCAGCAGAGATGGCGGGCCTTGACACGCGAGGTTAAACGCAACGTGAAGCCAAGATGCTGGCTGCAAAGGTCAACTTTGCTCGCAGCGCATCTGGCTGCCGCACGCCAAGCCACAAAAAAAAAAAAAAAGGAAGAAAGATCAAAGAAAGGAAAAAACTCTTAAATGTCTTAATTAACCTTTTAACAACACCGCTACAATGTCGAAAAATAATATACAGAAAAAATCACAAGGTATTACAGAGAGAAGGACGCATTTAATGTTTTTTGAGGAAGAATACTATTATTACTAATAGCACGAAACATAATCGAACCTTTCTCTTCCAAAACATCGACTTCAAACTTCTACACTACGGTAAAGCAGTTCACAATTCATATGTATCCAATAACATGACAAAAATGTAGATTTTAAATAAAATACGTCGTACTTACCTTTATAGACGACATCCATTCTCTTTCGTTCGTTGTGCTGGGAAGCCAGAGCCAAGCTCGCTGTCGTTGCTTCGGGAGCGGCAAAGAAATCCTTTTACAAGTGGCCCAGTCACAATATTGGCCGACCTAAAGTGGAAAAGTTCACTTTAACTGGAAATATACGCCTTGAAAATGAAATTTTGATCATGTCTGACTTTCGTCTACCACTGCACACCTGTAAAAACTGTAATTATGAATCATCGTTTTAATGAGCAGCTCCGATCAACCAATCAAAGGAGTCGAAAATATGACGTCACAGGTTGCCATTGCAAAAGTCGCAAGAGCTAAATCTAGAAGCTGATTGCATAAAAAAAAAAAACTAATTACGACGACAAGCCCTACTTTACATAAATAGAAACATTTTTTAGATTATATTGAGTGTGACTTCTTTCATGAATTGATTTCAACAACGATTCCGTTGGATTGTCCCACGCTGGTGTTATATTTATGAGTGAAATACGAAGATGTACATCACACATCTGTCTGCACACGCCTCCAATTTGCGCCCAAAGGAACGCATTCTCACAGAGATTTTTCTCTTTTAACATCACAACATAATTCATGCAGAATGATAACTTTTTTAAAAAAAATAAACAAGGTATGTTTTGTATAATGTAGTATGAAGGAATGTCTGCCAAAAAGCTTACCTCAGTGCTTCCCAGTGCAGATGGAGAACCAACAGAAGGCCGGCACCATGTGGTTTTCCCAGCGGCCCACCCAAGCTTTCGCTCATCGCTCACCTTTCGTGGGGCTCAGCCGCCTCGGTCACGAAGTGCTCCAGAACAACGCAGCTTGTTAAAATAGTGACACAGTTCTGGAGGGAATCATAATGGGGTTCGCCTGCCATTTTGTGGATCCGGAAAGAGCACAAGGAAGTGTCCCAAGGGGGTGCAGGGGGTACGGGTAGCAGGCTATGCTCTTTGCTAAGAGCCATATGGTCCCTGGATAACTGCAGAGAAAGCTGTGTCACTCTGTGGCAGGATATCAAACCCGGGCAGTTTCGTCATGCTTCTGTTTGGGATCTTCACAGGCAGGATCCCAAAGTCCAGTCGGAAAAGAATTGTCCTGTGCACAAGTAATGTCGTCCTAAAGATCTTATGCTTTACAAAAGCTTAATGGTGGACTGATGCTGGCCATTTTTAGCCACTAACATTCCGAACATGCGCGATGTCCTTGACAATACTGACTACTATGATTTTCTAGATATGGAAGGTTTGCTCCGTTTTCTGCTCTGTGTCAAGTAGCAATTTGTGAACGTCGATTTATTTTTCTCAAGTCAATTTTCACCAGTCGAAACACAGGAAAAAGTCAAAAGTCTTTTACGCTTGTAATGAATCTTCCACGGTAGAAAGTCTTTCATTGAGTGTCCAATTAAGAACTTAATGACTAGCGCTGTTTTGTTAGCTTGGCGTCTTTAATTTGGTCCCATTAACCGTGTTGAGACATGCTAACAAGGTCACTTAGCTTGATTAAAGACAGTTACTGCAGGATAAAAAAAAATGGGTGGAATTTCCAACTTCAAAACAGAGAGTCGGCTAATAACCAGCTAAGAACAATGTGTTTGTTTGCTGCTATTGTGTTCCAAGCCCAAAAGACACTTGATGTATTGTTTTAATATTCAAAAGCTCCTTGGATGGAATTGCTAAACTCAGAATAGGGAAGGAAATGATCCCTCTGTGACAAAGACAAAATGTGAGGACAAGTTGAAGTGACGCATGCTTTAAGAATCAATTTCCCGTGCATACAATGACTTTTCATTAAGGCCAAATGAGGCCCTGTTGTTCCTGTGATAACGCGGCAGCCGCAAAGCAACGGCGTCATTCCAAAGCGAGCCTTGGGAGCTTTATGCCACACAAGTTTTGAGTCGTTTGCTGTTGACGCTGCCAACAAAGAAATCAATCCTTTGACCTGCGAGGGAGGGAATTTGTCTTTTGGGGCAGGCAGCTTTATGACTTTGGTCCTGGAACTTGAAAGGTAATGAATGGAAATCCCTTCCCGGAGGCATTTCCGATATTAACTGCTGATTCTTTCAGAACCTTCTCCCGACCATCGATAGATTCAATCGCGACTCGCCCGCATCCACAAGACCATGACACACACTCGCGTGAAATGACAATATGTCGTTTATTTTCTATATCTTAAAGGTTTATTATTTACAAACAAAACGAAACCAAAAAGAAAAAGAAAAATCAAAAGGATTTTTTGACAAACACTGTTTGTCTGCATATTGTTGTAAGAAAGTTTACTTTAATCTTTCTTGTCCTCCGCGAAGAAACTCACGAAACTGAAATGTGGCTCTCGTCCTCTGCGGAAAATCTTTTTGCATCTCTATATTTCTTCCGCCTAAACCAAACAAACCGACGAACGACGACGAAAAAAAAAATGAAATAAAATGGAACCAAATCGAGAATATAAATACAAACATATGTGCTGGCTTGTTGAGGGTCTCTACGCTTCTAATGTGTAAGCTTGTTACGTCGCCATTAATGCCCGTCTGGTAGCTGTGATCGGTAGAGTGAGGAAAGACAAAAAAAAAAAATGAAAGCACATAGCTGGGAAGCACTCCCTCCAAAGGCAAGTATATGTAAAAAAAAAAATTTAAACGGCAAAAAAATAAAAATTAAACAACAGTCCTGCAATGCATCGTCACTCATTCCTATGGAACGACGGCAGATTCACGATTAAGTGCTCGAGTTGGAAATCTGCCACCCAAAAAAATATGCTTTCTACTGGAAAAGTGCAATTTGTAAAGCAAGACAATTCTTTTTTTTTTGTTGTTGTTGCTTTGGCCGGTTTCCTTACACAAACATCAGTGGCTAGCTACAAAACAAAAAGAAAAGGTAAGAAAGGTGCTCGCCATGAGTACATCTTGTCGTGTGTGATATTACTTGCGTTAAGATCGCATTGCACCCCCGACCCCATCAAAAAAAATATTAAAATCCACTTTGCAGATAATAGCGTGAATACGAGAGAGAAAATAAAGCTGCTTGAAAAAGCTGGATGCCGTGAGACATTTGGCCGTCGTCGCAAAGTCCTTTCCCGTCTGAAGAAAACAATAACAAAAAAACACAAGAGACATAAAACGGGTCAAAGAGGAAAGTCAGGATGAACCGAAGAAGGGCGGAACATGGCTGTTGTTTAGGCACAAATACGTAAGAATGTCCATGTGAAAAGTCGATGCTCGCACAGACGACACCGAGGCGGACGCACAATGAACAGAATCAAACAACATTTAACGTCAACATTGTTTTTTTGATTTTTTTTTTTTTTTTTTGTGACAGTGCATGCTTTCATTGACGGCGACGTTGGGATCATATCAGTACAGTATCGACACAAACTGGTAGCCAAACGCACATTCCCGGAAGGGCTCGGATAAGCTTCACCACCCGATTGACGGAATACACCGGAAGCCAGAAAGAAGGCCCGCCCGGATGTGAAACGGATCTTTGCTTGGACGGTTCTGCGTCCGTTTTTGGGTTGGTTTAGCGTATGCGAGCCCGAGGGGAAGGATTTACATGAGACATAGAACCTTAATGCAAACAGCAGCGCTCTGCAGCCTTTTTTTTTTTTTGTTTTGTTTTTGGTAAAGCTTCAAGTCCTGAATTGTTTCAAAATTTGAGAGGGGGGGAAAAAAACGCCCCGGTGGTTGTTTCGTTTGAAATAGAATCCAAATCTGCGGATAAACATGTCGTCATAGTTGGAATGCGACGAGAAGTAGCAGCCTCAACAAGAAGATGAGAAGAAGAACATGAGAATAGAAGAATAGAAGTCATGAACGGAGTCAACTCCAGTGACGCGATATCTCCATTAGTGTGTAGTCCTTCAGTTTTAGGAGAACATTTTGGGGGAAAGAACTCGTCTGAACTGAACATGAACCCTCCATTGGAACGTTGACTGTTTACATGCTTTTGGTACCCGGCAACTAACTGGCACCTGGTGTTCTGTTTTTTTTTTTTTTTTTCTGTTTATTTTACATTGAGGTGAGAGTTGTTTTCGAACGTGTTTTGGAAGAATCATCATCTGTCATGTGCTGTGATGAGCGCTAGATAACTGAAATTGAACAGAGGCTACAAAAAAACAAATATGATGACAAATTAGGTGCCGTATCATCTCGCTCAAGTTGCTAAAATTTTCACCATCTCTCCCTGAACCTCTTTTACCATTCAGTGTTTTTTTTTTTTTTTGGTCCCCCCAACTGATGTTGACGTCATATCGTTCGTATGACGTCAATAGCATGTGCTGGAAGCTAAAAGCTAAGGAAATATATAATGAGAACAACATTCAATTTAGCAAAACGGCCAATGTGGAATTGCTTAAGAAAGAGATCAGTTGATATGTATGTGGAAACTACGAAGTTCATCATAGACCTGTTCAAGGTTTTTTTTTTTTTACCATCCAAAGTGTGGCAAAACTAAATTTGTGTATCAAGGTATGAAAAAAAAATGCGTCCAAAAAAATATCACAAAAAGAAAATCACTTTTGAGCAAAATGGGATTCTCGTTGAGCCTGTTGCTGCATTCAATTTTTTTTTTGCATTAAGGTTCGTTTGTCAGCTTTGTCGCTTGCAGGTGGGTTAGCTAGGTTCCCCGACAGAAGTAAGACATTTGTTTATGATAGAGAGAATGCACCACACAGTATCTGTAAATACTAGCTCTACAAAAATTATTTACAGCACACGTATAGGTAATTTTTATGTCACAGTCTATTGCATAATGGTGATAATTCTTTAGTTTATAAATATTATAAATATACACATAGCTTTCTTTTTCTCTTTTGTCGTTACGTCACACTTCAACCATCCCAAATGAGGAATAGAAAACAAACGCACCCGTCATCCGTCCTTTCATCCATCTGTCACGCGTGTCTTAAAGCAGCATTTTCTGTTATTCATTCCCTTAACACTGTCGAGGTTGCAGACACATTTTTCTGTACGGTGTTGGTTTCTGAAAGTCCAGAAAATTCCTTCATGGGGGCGTGTGCTTTGTTTTGTTTGATTGTTTGTTCTTTTTTTTTTCTTCTTCTTTTTTTAAAGACGATTTGCAAGTGTTTACTTTGCACGTATGATTCCACAGTGGCGCTTAACGCTGCTTCTCCTCTTCCTCGGTGGAAAAGGAAGTCACAATCCGTAATGCAAACAAAAAAAAAAACCTCATAAATATATATAAATAAAAAATTCATACATTGTATATAATTCATTATATTTCTCAGAAAGGAAGACTCATGTTTTTTTTTTTTAGACTACAGATTTTTTTTTCCCCAATTGCCATTGCGAAATATATTATAATTGGATTTCAACGCACAGTCACATGCACTCGCCAATTCTCCCAACATTCTCATTTGTACCATATTTGTATGTGTGTGTGTGTGTGTGTGTGTGTGTATATATATATATATATGCACACACACACACACACACACACACACACACGCACACACACACACACACACACACACACACACACACACAGAGGCCATATACCAGATGTGTATATAGTCATAGTTATGGCATAAAAGAAAAAGATTATCTGTATAATATACATTCTTAAGTAGGGTGACAATGTTCCTAAAATATCATACAAGGGCTCCGTATGTACACGATTTCAATGAGGTTATCTGAGAAGAGAAAACAATGCCAAAGTAGTTTGGAGCTCTTCCATGGTTAAAATAAAAAGAATCCAAAAGCAAACGGAAAAAGGATCATAAATTGGATGCGAAGCGCATTTTGTCTTGCTCAGTCTCCGTACTGCTCAGGACAGAATCTCTCCGAGAGCCGGGGGATTCCCTGTGCTGGCCCGATGACGACGAGACCGCCGCCGCCGCCGCCACGGCCGCCGATGTGGAGCGCACAGGTGGCAGAGCCCCTGATGACATTTGCCGGAACAAATTGACCCGCTGGGGAACTGTGGTGCGGATGCCGCTTTGGAGACTCAACCCCTGGATGGCCACCGCCGCCGCCACCGTCGCCGGGGGCGGTGCGATGGAGGCCAGCGAGTCGCCCGAGGCCTGGTGCGCCCGTGGCCCAAGCGACGCGTCGTGGGGCAGCGACGGCTGCGAGGCCGATAAGTGTCGCACGTCTCGACTCAAGCTGCCAGACTGCAGCGCCTGCGTGCTTTTGTGAACATCCCCTCGCTGGGGCGAAGGGACCTGCTGCTGCTGCGGAGAATGTTGCTGTTGTGGAGACTGCTGCTGCGTCGAGCCACCGCCTGCGGCCGACACCGGCGGCTGCTGGCTAAGTTGCGACTGCTGGCCGGCGAGAGACGGCTGGCCGACGGGCTGCTGGATGAGCGACAGCTGGGACGCCGTGGGAGAGCCGTATTGGAAGCTGCGGCTGGCCAGCGGCGTCTGTACCGGCGGGCTGCACATGGCGGCCGTGAAAGAGCACGGCGACATGATGGCCCCCTGGAGCGGCGTCTGCGGGTTGGCCGAGGACGAACCCAGGTGGGAAACGCTGGCGGCGGGGTAGAGCGCCGCGGCGGCGGCGGCCGGCAGCATGCGGGCGGCGGAGGCGTTGGCGATAGCTGAAGCACTGTAGGTCAAAGGTACCGACGACTGCTGGAACTGACTCATCCCAAAGGCGGCGGCGAAGGGCGGTTGCGCCGGCGAGTTAATGATGGAATTGCCGGACATCGGTGTCGAGTTCATCCCGCTGAGCGACTGCTTGCGGTCCACCATCATCACCATCTCCCGGTCCTGGCGAATGATCTGCTTCAAGATCTCGTTTTCCTGTGTGTTGAATACGCCGGCGTTCAAGTCCTTCTGGAACTTCTGCAGCAACAATGAGTTCTTCTTCCCTGTTGAGGAGCAGTCAAGAGAGGTGAGCTGGCCTGGCGAAGGGCGAGCACACCGACAGGAACGGCAAATAAGATTGAGATGCAGCTTGAAGACTTGACCGCTGGTGCCGAGTAACCGAGTGCCAACACTTCTCGTTCGGACTTTAGGAAGTTTTCAGGCATTGTATTTGAACTGAGTGCTTTTACGATAATTTACTTTGACTACCGATATGTGAAAACGCATCTGTACTGTCTGCTCTTTACTTTGTCAAAATGGGTGAGATCTCGAGGTGGGGGGGGAAAAAAACAAAAACAAAACATGGGCGTATATGAACCAGGAAGCACCAAATTCGCAACAGCGAATTCGTTCAATGGTCTCATTGAAGAAAATTTAATCTTGTCGGCTACAAGAACGATTCTTGTGCCAGCCTAACAACCAACAGCTTCTGGCGTATCATTTGAAAAAAAAACAAAACCACCTTATGTTAAGATTTATTTTTTCCAGTTGTTACCATGACCTCATTTAGGATTTTTTGTTCATCAGCGCACAAAGGTAGTGAAGCTACGGGGACACCTTTTGATTGCATAAAAGTCTGTGTCAACGCAAGCTAGCTCATGGTGACTTGACTTCACAAGATTTTTTTTTTTTCCATTTTGCCAAGGCAGCTATCAAAATGGGTACTGTGCTCGAGAGTGGAAATTACCTTCAACCGTTTGCACCTAAACGCATTCCAGAATCTGTACTTTTCTCATTTGACTCATTTAACTCGGTGTCTTAAGAGTGCGAGTCGTTTTGCCACCTCTGGACTTGACCGTTGATGGCCATGCAAATTTTGTAAGGTCTTCAAACTGCACCTTTGACTCTTCAACTAAACTCGCTCGTATGGAACGTGAAGTGTGAAGTACACCGAACGGCGATGGTGGCGATGGGAGACTATGGGGGGGTGGGGGGGGGTCTCTGAGAGGAAAGGGTGAAGGACACATAAGGAGACAAAGATTACGTGTGGCGTCGTCTGGTCGGAAAAGTGCTGACGCAACTCGGAATACTGATGAGTCGCAGCAAACGCGTCACCACTCGGGACACTTTCCCTCACGACAAACGACACGTAAGTCTCTCGTTGAAAGTCACAGTCTATTCAAACCACAAAGACTTCACACACGTCACACAGGGACACCACCTACGATTTCCACTTCTTCAGACAAAGTCACGAAAAGAAAAAAAAAAGGTCTATTGTACAACTCTTCCTACAGAGTGCTTTTGAGGTGACGTTCATATTAATGGATGAAACAGTAAGTCGTGCTTCCAACTGGACCGCACAATTAAATTAGAACTCGCATAATTCCTCCCATACAGCCTTTAAAAAGAACTCGCCGCAGTGGGTGTCGTACGCACCGTTGAGCCCCCTGGGGCTTGATAAATACAATTGATTCTAATTGGAAACGGACTAATTACGCGCCATAAAGGGCAGGCTGTGCCCACGGGCACAGGAAGCAAGTCACTTTTTTTTTTTTCGGATTTAGTTCTTTCCGATCGCTGTGGGCCGGGCTTATCGACAGCCCGGGACATAACGTGGCTGGCTAAAGAAGATGGAGTGGACGATAAGTGCGCTCAAGGCTTCCGCCTCAGTCACTTCATCATGAAGACTCCAACCGTCCTGGAGGGGCTCAACGCTTCTCCGCTCGGACGGCATATATTTGTTTTTTTCCCTGCTCAAGGCCGCCGGTAAGCTAACAAACTCACATTGGCTTTTAGAAGGATTGATGTCACCTCTGTGGACTCTGGTTTCTCACTACAGGCTACAGCTAGCACCAGCGACTACCCGTTGACTTACAAGGCCGTTTTTATGGCGTTTTTAAAGGTGACAGGATCTAGCTCTGCGGATTGGAAGAACAGTAAATAATTGATACCACTCACACGGCAGCTTTGACAACAAAATATGTGGCGTCCAAAAAAAGGTCAATGGAGAGATGCGGGAGGCAATTTTCGGTCTGCCTCACTTGCTGAATCTTTGGCACTGCAAAATTTGGTGTGTGAACTAATCAATCCTAAAGTGCTGTTCATTTGTATTTACCTTTTGAGCACAACGGGTTTGCAATTGGTTAGTGTTTAAACATTTACAATATGGATGCAATTTATAGCAATGACGTTTTTGAAAAGAATTTGACCTGTTGCCCAACCTAATTATTACAAAATATATAACTATATTAATATTACATTGTCATAATGATTATTATTACGATTAGGTGCTATAAAAAAAACTAAGGAGGACTCAGAGTCAGTGCAAAAAATGGAAGATTACTTGCATCTCTGATTCAAACTGATTGATTATTTACCTTTTGAAAAAAAAACATCCCTTCATATTTTTGTGCACTGTAAATCAGTTCCATTCAACGATATTTTGGTGAACACAACAAATTGAAGTTTCAACAAAGTTCTGGCAAAATTTGAAAAGATGACTAGGAAAAAAAAAAGACAAAAATGGAAAATTATATCTTATTAGTTACACTAAATAATGAGGGGAAAAAAGGATTATGAAAACATAACTTTTAGGACTAAATATATAAAATCCGTTCAATACACACATGAGCACCCCCCACCAAAAAAAACAAAAAACATACTAGGGTACATACTACACAAATAACACTTAAATAAACCCTCCAAAATCAAACCAGGCAAAAAAAAAAAAAAAATTATATGAATAGCTGGTAAGAAATGAGAAGAAAACACATGCAAACAAACAAACAAACAAACATAAGCATCAAGACAAACATGATCGAAATCATGGTCAATGTGTCTCATTAAAAACAATCAACTGTACAAATAAATATGTTATTTTTGAAACAACACTGTCATTTTTCGTTAGCATTCCTTTAAGGCAGGGATGGGGAAACTTTTCTCCGATCAGGAGAGTCCTCCCGAGGCCATATTGGTTCAATGCAAAATATTCCAAAACTAATGCATATATACTTGGAGCATTTGTAAATGAAAATCATTTGGCCTTTTGATTCTGGAACGCGAGCCGCATGAATACAAAAGGCTCCTCACCCCTGTTTTTAAGGAGAACTCCGCCTTTATTCCGAGCACAAAGTCATAAATTGACTCAATAATGGTCATGCTGCAGAAAAGCGGCTCCTTGTTCTTGTCCAAGGACATGTGTGACTGGTGATTCTTTTAAGTTGGAATGTGTGACTGAAACAAAACAACAACAAAAAAGTAGCTGTATTCTACTCACGCAAAAGTGAGAACATTTGCGCCAGTCGTGGAATGCAACAAAAACAAGATGGTGGCAGGTTGCATTCGGAAAGTTTGACTAGTGTGCAGATTTTGATACCGTTGGGCAAAATAATTAAAAAATGTGCAATAATCCGGGTGGCTATTCTGTGAAAGCAAAAAAAATAAATAAAAATAAAATGGTGTGAATGGCACATCTTTGTTTCCTGGATTGTCTCCCTCGTCATCCGGGAATTCGGGTGGATGGTTGGAATTATGTGTATGTATCCTAGTGGGGAGGAGGGAAGGGGGTGGGGGACAAGAAGCTTTTGGAGGATGAATTTGGGGGCGGCGGGTCCAACTAAGCCAGCCTCTACTGGAACACTATTTTATTTCTTTTTTTTTTTAAATTAAGCCGCTGTTTGAATGTTGCAACTGGAAGGAAGTGTTTACCTGGTGCCGACTCGTCGGCCAGGACACTCTTGAAAACGAGATGAGCTCGTCTCAAGACGGACTCCTGGTCAGGTGATTTTTAGATAGATAAAAGATCACGTCAAATGTCAAATGTGCAACAGGTTCCTTTTTTTTTTCTCTTTGTTATTTTTCTTCTTCAAGAAGAGCAAGACAAGCACGTGACCAAATGCAGTTCATATATAAATATGGAGAGAGAGAAAGAGAGAGAGAAACGAGACAGTCATGACAACGCACGCGTCTTCCCTTGTATGAGGCAAACTCCCCTCTTGGGTGGTGGGGGTGGGCGGGACATGAAGTGAAACCGCTCTGAGAGGTGTCACTCAGAGTGGGCAGCTGTCTTTTTTTCCTTTTCTTTCTTTTTTTTTTAAATTTAAATAGAAGAGGGGAAAAAGGGCAAATGCAGATTTTCACGAAGATTGAAGGGCATCATGTTGCGAGAGTCTACACGGACAAATTTAGACGCCTTACTCCGAAGTGACGAATGCAACACAACCTCATCTCCTTGGTCTCACATCATGATACTGTCATGCGAACGAGAGAAAATTCACGCCACAGGTAGCAGGTCCTACATCCAATCCAGATGTTCAAATTGCTTTTACAAATTTTAACAGTAGTTCTTTCCTGGCATGCGACTGGTCCTTTTTGGGCATATATTCCGACATATACTGCATCTCAAATAGATGGTTCCTTGTTGCTACAGTTCCAAGTCGACCGCGAGGGGCATGGGGGGGGGGGGGGGGAAAAAAAATTTTTTAAAGGGGTGAATAAACATTTTTTAAAAATTGCGTGTTTGTGTGCGTGTTTTGGGGATTTTTTTGTACTTAACAGTCAGTCATATTTTTGTCGCAGCGTGGTTGGTAAGTTGCACTTAGGACAGACACACAACGTGGTTCCCGAGGAGAAAAGGTTGCCTTCATGATCGTAGAAAGGGTTGTTGCCTTCATGATGTGAAACACGCGTGTCGTCTTGGCTGAGTGGCGCTAATCAATGTGTTGTGTTGCACCGGAGCAGAGTGTCCTGACACGGTGACGCTAACTCGGGGTAATAAGACCACAATCGCTCGTATTGACGCACCTGAAGGACGCACAAATACATGGACATGACAATGAAAAGCAACAGGAACAGGTAGATACACACCACGGCTCCACCACTGACGACATAATAGGCACACTGCAAACTTCCCATTAGCACGTCCGCATTGAAAAAGTCGTTTGCCGCCATCGGGTGGTGTTAAGACTTGAATCACCGTGTGCTATTTTTGAAAGGCGACAGAGGACAATACCCGGATACACGGTGTGCTTCTTTTGCTTGTGTGAGCGCGTAATTAGCCGCAAACAACGCTGAGCCGAGCGTATGGTTGGAGGAAGACGCCGGGCTCGCCTCCAGCCGCCCAGCCGAGTAAGTTGGCGCCGTGGGGAAAAATGGAGCCGCCGAGCCTGCGCACCTTTTCGTGTTTGGTGGGGTAATCAGTGCGACGGAAGTTGCCAAAAAGGCAGCCCGGCAAACAAAATGTCTTTGTGTTCTCCTTTTGTACGGTAATAAGGTAAGCATCTCAAGAAGAAGTGACGATGGCTGAAAACGGATTTGTTATGTATTACTGTGGGAATAAAAAAAAATGTTTTCTTAAAATCCACATGTACATTTGATTTCTTTCAGGCACACATTGTTGGGAACGTTTGGATTGTGCTCGACCTTGGAGGTTCCAGTGCGACGGCCAATCCAAAATCACGGTAAAACCCAAATGACAAATGCAAGTCCCTGATGAAAAACAGTGCCCAGTTTATTTCATACATGTGCCCCTTTTGATTTCATACCTTGATGACTATTTCGTGGCCAGGTTCTGTCGATGTATGTTTGAAAATAAGCAAGCACCGTTCTGGCTGAGTTTATAACCGGATTATTCTAGAGGGGGAAAGTGGGGACGTTCCAGCCTGAAGCGACTTCCTGTTTCCTGTCGCTGGCTTTGATTTAGTGTTTGGTTGATTTGGAGCAGGGGTGGGGAACCTTATTCCTATTAGGGGCCATAAAGTCCTCCCAGGTCTGTACAGCGTGATTAAAAAAAATAATGTGATGCAACAATCAAACAACATTTTTATCATAATGTATTATGAGCATTTTTTTTTTTTTTGTGGGGCTTCTTTAGAATTGCATTGAAATCATATTTTAGGTTCCCCACCCCCGATTTAGGCCTTCTTATTTGGGGGTGGGGTGCTGCTCATACCCAGGAGTGCAGATGAGTGGGAAGAGGGCCACACAACACATGCATGTGAGGTTAGCTTCCATCCACTCGCGGTCGTCTATTGAGGGTGGGCGGGGTCAACGCCTCCCGCACCCCGACCACCTCCAGGACGGCGGCATGCGCTTCCTCCCCAATTAATCCAACCATAAAAATTGGGTCTTTACAAGGCTTAATGCCGGTTCCAAGACGCGTGTTAATTCATCAGACAGCATCACAAGGACATGCGGCAGAAGATGGCGGACACGATGCTTTCATGTTGGGAAGGCGGCAAACGTGTGACGACAAGAGGGCACGATGACAGGCAAAAACAAACAAACAAACAAACAAAAAAAAAAAAAAGATCGGGACGGAGGATGAAATCGCCGTCGTGAGGAGACCTTACCGATGCGATCCAAGCGGTCGATGGCGACCGTCTCGAAGGCCCGGCGCATCATGGGGTACTCCTCCAGAACCTCGTTAAAGTGGTCCACAGACAACGAGAAAAGGCGGCAGTAGGTGTCGGCCCGCACGCTGGCTGTCCGTCTACCCTTGGTGAGAAGGCAGATCTCTGCAGGGCGGCGGGAAAACAAACATTTTAACAATCGCAACACAAATTTTGCCCTCACATTTGTAGTATAACCTAAGCCTTTTAGTTACTTCATGACAAACGCATAGGATGAGTTGTTCGATAAAACATGAACATTGCGAGCTGGCTACGTAGTGGTATGAAGTGGTTCTGCGCTGTGCTGCGCTTTTCATTGGCCGGTCGGCATTTGCGGACTGCGGCTTAGCTAAATGTCCGTACACATTAGCATGTAGATGAACCTTCAACGTGAAGGTACAGAAGGAGACGCTTACGTTGAGTGTAAATAAACTGTCACTTAAGCAACACCGAGACCATTTATCATCCGCCGCACGGCTAATGGCCTCTTAATGCAATGCAGTCGGATCCTGTCAAGCATCACGCCGCATCGCTGCATTGCACCAACAGAGCTGCCTCTTTTTTAGTCGTGAAGCATGTCTGCGCAACGTGAAGGGAATGAGCCCTTTCGGATGAGCTGATCTGCTGACTCAATACCATGAATCGGCACGTCTATACCATTTGTCACTGTATTCACCAGGCAAATTGTAAATGAGCATTGTATGTCAGACATACCTTTCATTTTGTCCGAGAGTGAGGAAAACTGCATGGCTGAGCTATGCACATTTTTTATAATGAACGTTTTTCACACAGTTAAAAGAAAAGATTAAAAAACAAAAAAAACAAAAAACAAAACAGACATTCAATTTGCATTGGCTTGTATGGTATTCGTGACTTCCCAGTTATGAAACTACATTCATCCTAAATATGTATGTGAACATTTTTGACTTTGGGAGGATTTTAAGGAAATTTCTAAAATTCATACTTTTTAAAAGATGAAAGATGAAAGTTGCTGTTCATAGTCAGTCTACTATTACGTGCTTCCAGCGACTTCTGTAAAAAGTGCGCTACCTCTGGTATTTCGCGACCACATTTCATGATAGCTTCGAGGTTAGCATGGCTTCTCTGACTTTACCTGTTAATTACTTTGTCCTCAGTTATTGATAACAAGACTTGTCAGAGGAATTTCTCATTTGCCGGCATGGAGGCAAGTATTAACTTAGAGTAGCGGCTCTGTACTGTGAAAGGAATGTTCAGCCGTGTTAGCGATCCACCTGCAGTTAGTAGCTAGCTAGCTGATATGAGTCTATTTAAGAGCTCGAACTTGGGCACAATTTGCCTAAATGGACCCCAAATCAGACGTTTCTTTCACAGATTTGGAACACTAGATTTCTTTTTTTTTTTTTTGCCATTTTAGCCTACACTATCTAACTTGGATGGAGCATGGCGTCATAATTTTACAGCATTTCAAGGAGTCACCATTTTTCATGAGTTGTGCCAGTTTCCCGGCAATGTTCTGGATGCGATCATTTCCCCCTTTTGTAAAGTAAATGTGTACATTAAAGCATGTAAAACAATTCCTGCGATTTCAAGTTCAATTAGTTCTGTTCAACGATGCAGTCAACCCCCCTGACAAGCTTGAGCCTAGTTTTGTTCCCACGTTTGGCAGAAAGCGACCCTTTTGTCTCAAATCAATCTTCATCATCGGAGTTGTGCTGTGATCTTTGGCAGGAGCGTGTTGTGAAAAGAGAGCAGGGTGTGTGCGCCACGTCGGAGCAACACCTTCACGCTGGGGGTGTGAATGGTGCGGATGCTGGAATGAAACGTGGAATTAACACGTACCGTTTTTAAACAAGATCATTACATGATTTCTAAGATGGGAAGGCATGAGTTGAGTCTGCGACATCTATCTTGCCATTTGTTTGATAGTACAAAAATAGAAAACCAGTGAGGAGAGGGAGTCTCTACAGCTGCCTGTGCAAGTTAGGTTATAATAATATCATATCAAATAAAAGATAAGATACAATAAAAAACAACGATGGAGGAATTAGTCATCAATGAACGTATTTTTATAATTCACTTTCATATATTTAGAGAGATTTTAAGTGTTTATATGTGTTTTTACGAAAAAAATATATGGAGAAAATCAACCATCAACAATTCACTGAAATGATTTTTTTTTAAAAATATTTGTTGCTATTGCATTAGGCCAAGGAGTGATTTCCCTGTCAACGATGAGCTGTGTGTGCTCGGCCCGTGCGTCATTGGCCGTGGTCGCTTCGTGACCTACTGTCCTCCTCCATGTCCAGCTCATTAGCATGCTAATGGTGTCCTGTGGCTGCTTTTTGTTCCTCGCTCGCCCTCCTCCTTTGGCTTTGCGTCTTGGCGGACTACTTCTCGCCCTTGCTGCAGCGGCGCATAAATCATCAAAGGAAAAAGAAGAAGAGAAAACGAGGAAGGTGCCTGGCTTCGTTTGGCCAGCTGTTCCTGACCGACCGACCCGGGCTCGCTCATCCACATGCACGCGGGTGACATTACCAGCTGGGCGGCAGGGCAACAGCAGGTGGCTAGCTACAGGCAGGTAACACGGCGAAAACCCCGCACTATGCTCTTACTGTTTTTGACAAACACGTGTACAAACCCCAATTTCAATAAAGTGGGGATATAAACAAAATGCAATCATATGAAAATCCCTTTCAACTGATAGGATAGGATATACTACAAAGACAAGGTATTTAATATTAAAACTGATCGGGTGTTTTTTTTGCCAATATTCACTCAATTTGAATTTGATGCCTGCAACACATTGCTTAAAGTTTTTGACACTGTGACTTGAAAGCTACGCGAAGATCTGACACTTTCAAGCAAATACAGCATAACCCTCGTCGGATACCAGAAACCCACAAGGAATTGATGCCATCCAAACTCAACTCCACTTTCGCGTGGATTGAAACAAATACAAATACCTTTAAATATCATACACGTCTATATAATGATGAAACATCAAGAGGACCGTCACAACTTCTCTGCAGTAATAGTCGGAGATGTTGCTATGCCGCCATAGTAGCGCACGTTTCATTGGTCAGTCATTGACATTTGCGCATGATGCGTTAGCACTAAGCTAGCAGTTATATGTTTAGATCTGTGTCGAGTCGAATTTCCACTGCCACGATGGCTCACTTCGTACGTTCATTTCAGGCTACCTTCGATCTCCACGCTGCACACACCTATTTCAACGCTTCACTTCACCCGGGCTGCATATCCGGAGTCTGATCTGCGACGTCATATCCAGAGGATGATTCGTCTGAATGAGCCGTTCTGCTCTACGTGTCCGCTCCATGCAGAAGCTCAACGAAAAGCCCCGCAGCCTGGCACACTGGCACATGAGCAGACACTTTCTGACAGCATCCCCCCCTTAGTTTTTGAACGCGCGGTAGCAAACCGAAAAAGACAACCAAATTTCACCCTTTGATTCTCGCCTGCGAGACACGAGCCGCACCAAAGCGCAAGTATTCTTAGAATCCCCGCCTCTATCGCGCCTCTCGAACTCAGCATAAAATATGCAGGCACGTCTTAAAATAGGAAACTTTGCCGTCACGCTGAGACGACACGGATTTTGTCGGAGTAAACAAGAGGCGGCGGGGCTGCAGCTGACATTTAAAACATTGATGGCATTCATACTGAGATGTGGAGAGAAGGAAAAGAACAGCAGAGAGGAGGCTTCTCGTTATCCGCAGAATGAAAGTCCAATTCGCTTTTTGTCAGTGCCAAGAGTGCGGCAGGGACGTATAGAGGGGGGTGCGGGTGGAGGTGGGGGGGTCACGCAGTGTGTATCTGTGTGTGAATGTGGTGGTGATGGTATGGGTGGGCGGCGGCGGGGGCAACCTCTGTGTCCTCGGGGATGCCTGATCCACGCCTCGGCCCCCTCCAGCGAGCAGATGAACGCTTACATAACGGCAGAGGGGCTGACGAGCGGCCAACGCTGCCTAATGAGAATCTGCATTAATTTGACTTCAAGAGGCATCCAACGCAACGGCCTCGGGCGCAACTCGGCGTGCGTCAGTATGTACACTAACTCTATAATGTTTGAGCACTAGTTTGGTGAGCGAGGCAGTGCAGTGAGTTAATGTAGAGATGATGTACCACTTCAAGTAGTTACTTTCAGTAGCAAAATCTCTCTTTGCTCAATGGTTTCATGTAATGGACAGGAATCCCACTCAAGTACAAGAAGCTATGAACCATTCAGAGGTAGGCCAGCAAACCTGAGTCTGAAGGCCCCGGTATGTTTACATTGATAAGGCAACACATACACATACTGAAATATGATTGGACAATCAAAAATTAACCCACAAGTGACTGGAAGTTGCGCACGAGCTCTAATGAAGACCAGCGTGAGCGAAACATCTCACCTCCAAAGTAGGACCCGTCGGTTAGCTTCATCTCCTTGTTGAACTTGGTGATGACACTGGCGACGCCGTGTTGGATGAAGTACATCTTCTTGCCGACAGTGCCCTCGCGGATGATGTAGTCGTTGGGCTGGAAGACCTCGAATTTCAGCTTGCTTAGCATCCCTGTCACAAAGTTGGGGTCGGCGTTTGCAAACAGCGGCATGGTGGCGACCAGCTTACGGCAGTTAAAGTTGACAATTTCCTGGCGGGAAAGGGAAAAAAAAACAGGGACATGCGACAAATGAGATCCCGGGAGAGATTGCGAACTTGGAAAAGCGCTTGGCGCTCCAGCTGCTATTATCAGGGCGGCACAAAATGAAGTGGACGCGTATTGCCGCTTTATCCCTAAAACCTCTAAAGCACTGCTGAGGAAAACATTTTGGCACTGCTGTCAGCTCTTGATGAGTTCTGCTCCATCCCGGATGCCCCCCCGGCCCAGCTAGAGATTAGGTGTTTGTTTTCCGTTTACCCCCAACGGGGCACAGATTGAAAGCTGCTCAGCACGTGTCGTGCGCTTGACTCCCTCACCTCCCTTTTGCCACACTTGCGGCATAATGAGACATTAACAGAGAGCCGCGCAACCTCTGGGGCTAACGACGTGACGGTTAGCCGCGAGCCGGGGGGCGATGACCTCAATCACGGAGCAGAACTAACGAATCAGATCGTGAGCAGTTTTCATGCTTCAAGGAGGCCTCTCGGCGGTGAACAATCTTTGCGTACACAATACCTATTTCAAGATGTGTCACGTGCCAAGGGAATTGAACAGTCACGATATTATGTTACATAATGAGCTAAACATATTGAAAGATTAGCACGCCACTCGGCTGGAGATATGTCTTGGTGAAGCCTACTGAGCCTGTGTTTTTACAGTGTTTTCAAACATTTCAATAAACACAATTAAGATACAAGAATTAATTTTTCTATTTAAAAAGTTACAATAGGTGATACAATGTGATGGCGCAATGTGATTTTGGTGGGTGTGACCGAGGCACAGGCAGACATATTCTGAGCTCCGTGGGTGAGTGTGATGCATGTGAATCACTGCAGAAATCAATTTATTGAACAAATTATAGTCATTCTCATCATAAACAAATTTTCATAGCAGCCCCTGACGGTGTGGCACAACTCTGGGTGCCCGATCGGGGGTGGCTGACTCTGTCCAAGTGCCCATCCACAACGGCTGACTTTACATCCGCAAGTGGAGATCTTGCAGTTCTTTTTACTTATCAATGCATTTTGCCAGCACTGATCTCACGAGTTAAAAAAACAATGTGCTTTTATTTTTTTTAGGCAATAATTTTGCACAGTACTTCCCGTAATTTACCTCATTCATTTTACTCTCCTTATCGGCTGTTAGATTTGAGTACTGGCAGTAAACAATTGAATTTACCGGCTTCAAAACAGAGTAGTGCTTCTGGGCAAGCAGAAATACGAAATACAAATAAGACAAATCAAAATATCATTATATTGACACTGCATTTTCTGACGCCTATTCAAAGTCTTAGCGGTTTTGATGCTTCCCAGGTGGTCATACTTGCTGGAGCCAGGAGTGTAGGCAATGACTTTAATCTCGCGATAAAGCGACATGCCAGATTCTCCGCATAGTCTGCTGAGTGGAGAGGATCCTCACTCCCACTATGACCCCCACACCCTCACTCCCCCATTCTCCCCGCACTTCCTTCCAAATTTGGCTGGGAAGGCGAGGCGCCAACAACAGACAAGTGGCCGTCAGCCAACGATCTCGACTCAGCTCTTGGATGTTACTGTGGGAAGTCTGGATTAGATGTACTTCACTGGGGCAAGAGAATCCTCACCGCTAAAATGTCCTGCCAGGGATGTTCAAACTGGGCACGTCCATAAAATCAAGTGTTTCGCAGTGAAATGATGATGTAACCGCTTGGTGTGACTCACTGTGTCTTTACTCGCCAGTCCCGCGAGGGACATTTATATTGTGTGACGCTGTCGCCAGGCAGATTTTGTGGACTCTGCATAGTGGACAAAAAGCCTGTAAGGATTTTCCGCATTGTAAGTAATAATCATAAATCCCCTGCGCGTCCTTCCTCTGCCGCGAGTGTCTGCAGCATTCGACCCTACGAGGGAGTGCGCTTAATGGGTCTGCATGGGAGACAGTCACGAATGCCACGCTTGCATGGCTTTTTACAGCGCTCCTCGCCCATATCTGCCGAGTGTAATTACTCATGTAATCCTTTGGATGTGAGGAGTCGCAAAGAAGGAAACTGATCAATTGCTCACCATCAATTTCAATGCGGCCCGTGCATACACTTATCTGATGATTATCGATCTTTGCCAGTATTAAACTGAGACGAGTGCGTTGTTGTTGACGTCAAACTTGTAGATATCGAACAGACATTTTTGGTTCCTGTGCAATTCCGCAATGCTTTTAGGGGAAAGATTTGGTGTGAAATAAATCACACACACCCCAAAAAACAAAAAAAAAAACAATTTTCCGCCACAAAACTGCTTGCAAATTTCGCGCCCATGAGTAATGACAAAACTCAAATGGTTCATAATTTTCCGTCGACTACCTGTCAGGTGTTCGCGGCTCTGATTTGGTAGGAATCGGACAACCTCAGGGACAGATCCACTGTTGATTTCAAATGGTATTAAAGTGTCTTGCAGACTTGCTGTGTCTTTTTGGACATGGATTCTTGTGTAATTTATGACAAGCATGTCTTCCAACCCGAATTTAAAGTACAAAGTAACGATCTCACCTCTTTGAGCGGGTCATTGAGTTCGCTAAGGATGTTGTCCTCATCGAAGATCTTGCCCTGGTAGCGGTGTTCATAATAGTCATGTATCTTTTGCCGCATATCCGCCGGAAGCTTGTGGAAGGACATATATTGCTCCACTTGTTTGTACTGCGGGAAGCAAAGGCAGAAAGACGCAAATGAGTTTCAGGTAATGCGTTCCATGGACAAATATCCCAATAAGAGAACTAATGACTGAATGAAAAGTTTGGCATTGATCTATTCACAAAACACAAGTTGCAATCTCTGAGCGTTTTGACTGCTTAGTTCAATAGGCGTGGGAGGGAGGGGGAATGAGAGGTGAAGTCTGGTGGTGGAGGGTGGGAGGGTGGGGAGGGGGGAGTAGAAACAAATTGCTCCCCGAGGCTACGTCAATCCAAGGTTGCATTTGCCATTATTTCAAGCAAGCATGTCGCTCAATGCTGATGGCCAGCAAAGCCATGATCTTAATGCGAAGTAGCCAGCGACATGCAACATCCTGCTGACATATTCAGGTTACAGTGCTTACTGTTCTCAGCTATGGCAACCCCCCCCCCCCACCCCCCCAACAACAATAGAAAAATGTGAATTTCATTCATTCGTTTTCACTCATCCATTCAAGAAGTGAGGTCAAAGGCCATTTGTGTTGTGTGGCAAGTCAAGTCTATTTGTTGCATAGTTGACATAACTGACTTTAAATTCTGGCCACTGGTAGTTAACATTGATTGACTTTTCCTTTAGTTCATTGCTAGGATAGAGGTTCAACTAATTAACTTCGAGTCCATTGGTAGTGTTGTAGGACACATAACAGACTTCCGGCAGTGTAGTGGGTCACACAGAGTACTTTCAATTCACACCAAAAGCTATTTATTGGTCAAACAACTACCTTGGAGGGGTCCACAAAATCAAATTTCAGGTCATGCCAAAGCCCAGTGTTGGTCATGAAGTGGTTCACATAACTAACTTTCGATTTAGGCCATTGGAAATGCCGTGGTGACAGGCAGGGGCAAGGGGTTCACAAAACCAATTTCATTGGGAGAGCACTTTGTGGCATAACTGCCTTTATAAAGGCCAGTGGGTGTCTAACGGTTCACACCACAGACTCCAAACCGGGTTTCAATTCACATCAAAAGCCATCTTCCATTTCAGGCCATTGTTAAGACAGTCATTGCTTGTTTTTGAATCCTGATTTTTCTATTCCTGCCAAAGGCCATTAGTAGTGGTTTACGGAACTGGCTTTCAGTTCCCGCTATCAGCCACTGCTAGCATCGCAGTTCACATCATTGACTGTTTATGTGCACCAAAGGCCTTTGGTAGTGTCATAGTTCACATTACTGAGTTTCAGTTCAGGGAATTGGTATCCTAGCTGTTCACATAATTGTCTTAGTTGTGGTTGTGCTGTGGGTCCCAAAAGCGGCTTTCAACTCCCTTCTAAGGCCATTGGCAGTGGAGTTGTTCACATAGGTGGTGAAACACAGGTAATGGGTATTATTAGCAAGCGTGACACAAGCCTCGCCCGCGACATGAAACTGGCACAGGATGCAGAAAGACTCACAAGGCGTCCCTCATTGATTCCTTTCTCCCGGCTGCAGACATTTGATAAGAGCTTGGGTCATTGTTTATCGGGAGGGAGAGGGTGAATTTATTTGGCGCTTGTGGGAGAAGTTGGAATGTAGCTCAGGCTGTTCAGCGGGACTGGAATGGCCAAGGTGGGACAGAAGTCGTGCTAGGAGAAGTGCCGTGCACAGAATCACTAAGGTGTCATTTTCAGTCGGCAGCATGGCCGCCCCCTGAGGGGGATTAAAATGGGTGGATTTTGCTGCTTAATTCAAAGTCCACAAACGCAAACGCAATCAGAATACAGTGTTTAGACTTGGGGGCTGCATAGAACACTTTATTGTAAAGAATAGTTTAGGGTTGAATTCCTCTTTACGTACTGTATGTGGAAGTTGAATTTAGGAAAAGTGGCTGGCGACAAAAATATTTTCAACTTTTCATCTTTTAACTGCATATTTGGAAGTAAATCTACAAAATCTGGGCTATAGAGTGAAGGATGGTGATCTGTTCTTTGCTAATAGGTGTCCAAATAGATGCCTGACACAAAAAAAAACCCAACAACAAAAAAACAATGGGTATGCACATGATGACTATTATTTAGCTCGAGCTAACAATTGCCTGAATCGATACCTCATGTTCGTCACCGACAGTTACACTTTGGGAAATAGCTTTGAACAATACAGCTACGTTAATAGCGACCATCTTCGTTCACACAATTGTGCTGATGAACACAATGACAAACGCCCAATGCGGTGAAACACACTCCCACGTTAACAATGTAAAACGAAGCCTTCACGGCCCCTCTAAAATTGTCCAAGCCCAGAAACAGATGCCAGGAGGATGAAGTCGAAACGGGATGAAGCAGATTTGCTGTAGAACAGATGCACCGTCCATCCACGCTGAGTAAAAGGCATGTCACTAATTCAATGACTTTCAATGTTTGCTGTGGGCGACCTGCTGTCATTAATATTCACTAGAATGCACTGTGCCACTGATGTGTGAAGCAATGAGCAAATTATGGAAGTACAGTGACTCTATGGAGGAAAAAAAAAAGGCAGCATTTTTCCCTTTTCCATACTGACGAGGAGATTATGGTCATATTTGTAAATTTTGCAACAGCACATTACAGAAATATTGCCCAAGCTGACCAAAGGGAAGGGTTGAATTTTACGATTCCCTAAGAGAGAATTGCCAATTTGGGCGAGAGAGAGAGAGAGAGAGAGAGAGAGAGAGAGAGAGAGAGAGAGACTTCACTTCTATATTTTTAGTGTTTCTTTAACTTTGCATTATTCTTATTATTACTTTTACTGTGATTGTTATTATTATTGCTGTTCAGTGATTAGCAGGACATCTTACATGAATGTATTGTGCTGTATGTATGATCTGTGCACAGGTCAACTAGTGTGTTTTTTTTTTTTTTCAATTGCTCGTCAATCATAATCTTAAATCCACATATGCCGATAATCCCTGCACGACAGAGCTACGTATGTACTTTGAAGGGGGGTTATGTTCTAAGGGTTCGCCGGGGTTATTTGATTGTTGCGTGCATGCACAAAGCACATCCGGAACATCCACGTGTTCTGGGAATTTCCAGATGGTAGCTTGGCTGGGATGCGAGATAATCACCATGGAGGTACATTAAAATGAGATAAATACATACATTAAGTCATCATGAGTGAAATGGAAGAGAAGAATCACATTTGTGGAGCGGCCGGCCAGCCAGCCATCCGTCCGTCCGTCCATCCCTCCAAGCACCATTCATATAGATCTCGTTTATGACATTCTGGAATGAGCTGAGTTTTGATGGGGTGCGAAACGAATAATACTTTAAGACCATCTCAGCTCTAATTAGCATTAGCTTTATGGCGCTAATGTGATTATGTGCATCAAAGGGGGCCATGAGGGATTAGTGCATAGTTACGTTAAGTCAATAAACAGGATATGAGTGAAAGCGCTCATCAAATCGTAAAAATTCCGGAAAGTTGTCTGAAAAATATGCTAATGTCCTTGATTGGAGTCACGGGAATTCTCGGCAAATCTTCACGTGACGATATGCTTGTCATCACCGAGCATCAAAACGTGATCATTTGGCGCTTACCTTCTCTTGGTACTGCCGCCGCGAGGAGTCCAGCGACTGGATGAGCGCGGTGGCGTGGCCCACGAACATGGCGTAACACGTGGCGCCCACGATCATGCTCAGCATGGTGATCCACAGGTCCGACATGCTCACCGGCGCCCGGGCGCCGTAGCCAATGCACAGCATGTGGCTCATGGCTTTGAAGAGGGCGTACGAGTACTGCTTGCCCCAGGACACGTTCTGCCAGGACCGTGAGAGAGAGAGCGAGAGAGAGAAAGAGAGAAAGACCAGGCGCAGGTAAAGTTAGTGCGAGGCCGGGCTCCTCGTCGATGGGCGACTACACTTCCACGCATAAAACATCCACCCCAAACGCCTCGCCGTGCCCTTTGGTACAACTTCTCCCGCTTCTTTCTACCTGCTTTCATTCTTTCCCCATTTGCCGAGGGGTGAAAAGCAGTTCGCGTCGGCAGTGCTAAAAAAGAACAACTTGCATTATTTACACATCTGAGGCGTCTGTTTTCTTTAGAGAAGCAGGAGAGAGCCTTTACTTTGTCTTTTTTTTTTTTTGCACTCTTGTTCAAAAAAAAAAAAAAAATGGCCGTTGGATTCAAAGCATGTTTGTGAGAGCTCAGCTCAGCGGGCGAAAAACTCATGCCGGATTTCTACATTACCTTAAGAGAGTTCACTTAAGTTTGTGACTTTATTTGGATTTTCTGTGACAGCTAATTCCAAAAGATGCACAAAGGACTTCCTCGAGATCTCAATAACTGTGTCTTTGGCCTTTTTTTTTTTTTGTAACATTGACTTCTTTTTACACTTGTATGACAACTGATAATACATTGACTGTAGCTAATCATTTTTAAAAGTTAGCACTTGTGTTAGACTTGAATATTTAATGGCTCAACTGTAAATTTTCCAGGATTGTGATTTGAGATCCAAGTTCAGCAATGATGTAATGGCCGACGATATTGCGTGGCTGTTAATTGTTTTTTTAACAAGATGGTCGTCATTTGTCTCTGGTGCTACAAACAGCGTAATAGTCACCCGTCCTGTGTGCTTTTTCGCGGCGATGTGTCCAGCTGTGCATCTCATTTTTCACAGCCTTGTTGACTCGCTATCAATCAGACTAAAGCTGAGCAAACACCGTGAGCCCACATGGAGCGATAAGAGACCAAATAATGGGTGGGGAGGGGGGGGGGGGGAGAGCAGCGATGCAAAGAATGCACGTAAAATCATCGTTTAGCTACAGGAAACAGTTGTTTGTGGGGAGCTTTGACATACTGTATTTCCTCGGATTAAGACCAAACCCCAATTATCAACTTCCAAAATAAACATCTCTCAAAAAGGCGCCTTCCTTTTAGTTTTAAAATACTGTAACTTTTTCTCGATCACCCAGTTACATATAAAGTGGTATTGTTATCGTGTTTCCCTCTAATAAATCAGTTTTTGCATCATCACTGTTGTGATATGTGTATTGTTGGAACAATACATGCAGAAGAAAACATACTGTCCATGATTCGTATGATGGCTTTGTCAATATTGTTGGACAATGTCACAACAATATTGTATTATAAATGACACCGCGATTCCCACCCCTCGCTACTCTGTCCCGACCGCCATTATTCATATTCATGTCATTGTTGTGTTGGACGCTGTTCAGTCCAAATGGGAATTTTGCAAGTGACAAAATTCAACAGCTAATCATCATGACTCATCACTTTTCATCTGCTCATTAGTTGCTTCTAACGGAGACAGATTAGTTTCTCATTTCATTTGCCATTCTTTGGCTAAGACGTGCTAACTATCGTTTTTTTTCCTCTCTCTCCTTCGATGTCATGAAGCATAAACACTGAATATTCCGTTCTGCACAAAAGGCTGGAACACAAAAGGCAGCTGATCATGACGCCGGAACAAATGGCATTTGCGAGGCCGTGAGGTTGCCTTCGCACGCGTTCGCTGAATGTTTGTGTTGGCAAAATTTGCATGGTTGGAGAAGCAGGGAAGGATAAAATACTTGTTGTTGTCGTAGTTGTGCAATGCCACTCTGAGCTGACTCATCGCACCTTTTTGCCTCATGGTTCTGCGGACGGAGAAGGGCTGACCTGGCACCATGTCGCGCATTGTCATCGCTTGGTCATACATATGTGTTTGCACTGCGGGTCGCAAAAGGGCTCCTGGGAATTGATATTGCGTAGAATTGTTGCCATCTGTTTTATTGTTCATATAGAGATTGTTACTATTTTGGCCTATGTTTTTCTATAAGACTCAGAGAAGAGATGGGAACTAGAGAATGCAATTTCTGTCGAATCTCCACATCAACACGAAGATCTGACGCTTACTTGAGGTTACGGACTGCTACATTAGCTTAGCTGTGCAATTTTAGTCAGCCTGTAAAATGAATGTTGAATAGTTTTTTTTACTTTTCACACCCCTGCTCTGAACTAACCTGATTTGTATCCCCCCCCCCCCAACACACACACACACACACACACACACACACACACACGCGCGCGCGCATCCCCTTCCGCGACTCACGGCGAGCCCTGCTTCATGATGAGGCCAATCATACACTTTGTACATATTGATTTTGTTTCACCAGTCAAACGGCATGATATTTTCCATCTGTGAATCATCGGGAAGAATTGCAGAGATTGAAAGAATCTCTCATCACATAATGCTCGGTCATCCTTGTGTGTGTGCATGTGTGTGCGTGCGTGCGTGTAGAAGGGGGTGGGTTGTGACTCATCGGTGTATTCACACTTCTCCAAAACACAGCTTCCGCTCGAAGTGGGGCTCCTAACAAATGAGGTGAACGCAGCAAATGTATTCAAGCGGCTTGTTCTAATTAAACCTCGCATGCATGCTGGCAAATAAGCAACGCGGTTGAATATTCATTCTGCAGCAACGCTTTTGTTTAAAAAAAAAAAAAACCCAAACAAACAAAAAAAAACAAAAAAGAACAATGACACCCCTGTGCTTTGAATATACAACCATAATGCCTTTGAAGTTTTGAACAAGGAGGAGACAAGCGCCCTGAACTGCACACAGTCGGGGCAACAGGCCCAATCACACTCTCACCTGACGGCAGCATTATCTTATCTCCTGATTAGGTCAATGCGGGCGCTTGGGACTAAGAAGCTACTCTGGGGCCATTAGTCAAGCTGATAACGCGGCTACAGGCCCACTCGCCACTATCGCCAGTCCTTGCTGGCCCGAATTCTCCTTCGTGCTCGACACCATACATCCGGGCGACATAACCAATGACGCAATTTATATAGATTCCGAAACCCTGTTTCTATCCTGCCAGTGTCCAGAGGAGTTGGACACTTCCGTTGGCTCTACACAAACTTTTGCACTGCTAACACCGGTGCGACCGCCTTCAACCCCTTTTCTAAAAAAAAAAAAGGAAAAACACTTTTGCTCATTCGGCGCCAGGGCCAAGGGTGGGGAACCTTTTTCCTATCATGGCCATTTCAGTTACTAGCCCGAAAACAAACTATGATGAACATGACAAACACATATTCTATGTTAGGAGCATTTGCCGGTTCAATGTTTTCCCGCAGATTTTGAATGCTTTTTAAATTTGCATGCGAGGGAGGTGGGGGTGGGGGG